GAGAGAGAGAGAGAGAGAGAGAGAGCGCTAGATCAGCAAATGGACCAGATAGTTCCTGGGTTTGATTTAGGCAGAAGTTGCTCTCTGCTTGCCCCTTTACTCTTTAGGAGTCCTCTGAGTTCTGTGCTGTTGCCTGCAGGTCAGAAGGGCTAAGCAGCTGACACTATTTTGTCAGCCAGGATGTAGTTAAGAGGTCTCACGTTTTGCAGGCTTGTTCTAATATTATCTTGGTGGTGGGTCTTATCTTTTTCAAAGAGTTTAAAGCATTTTCATCACAAAATATCTTTGAGGCAGATAAGACATGGCTCAGGAAGACCACTAGCACAAAGGCAGATGAAACAGTGAGAGTCTTGTATTTAACTTATTACCATTCCTGGAAAGTATTATCTACCCATGTAGAATTTGGCTGCAGCTCACCTTATTCATTTAAAGAGTCAGCAAGTACACCAAAAGATTCCATGATGATTCAGACATATTGTTGAGTTTTTCCTGTGTAGTAGGCCCCATTCTGGTCTGTGAGTCCCAAACCTAGTCACACAATACTGGGAAAGGAGTTTTTGTAAAGACTAAACAAAGATCCTAAAATAAACCCATGTCCATTAAAGAGTGATCTTGGGGGTCTTGTCAATCCAGATCCAAATGCAGACACAGACAATCCTTGGTATGTGTATAGAGCTGTCACTCTCCTACAGAGGGCCATCCCAAAATGTGGGTTAATGATGGAATCAGCCTAATAGTCACTCCTGGAGGCCAAAAAACATTTTCTAATCTATAGGGATTTAGGAAATTAAGTTTTATGTTCTTATGCTCCCTCTACTGGTTTTCTTTCTGGAGCTAGATGCCATATCTCCTGGCTCTTTTCTATTTTGGAGAAATTAGAATGTATTTGTACCAAAAGCCATAAACTGATTTGAATGAAATGGAAAAGATCTTATTTGATCATTGGACATTAACAGCATCAATAAAATATTTTTTAAATTTCAAATAATTTTTTATGAACATGAATATATTGGAAACAGGAGGGCTGAAATATAAATCTGCCAAAGCATACTAATCAATGAAAAATTAAACACAGGTTTGTCCATTATCTATTAGAATTATCAAAAGGAACAGCATTAAACAAAAATAAATTACACAAACCAATAAATTTCAGTGCACATATACAAGTACACATAGTTAAATTAAGAACCTTGGGCCAGGGATTTAGCTCAGTGGTTCCGCTGCCTGCCTTGCAAGTGCAAGGTCCCAAGTTCAGTCCCTGGTACTACTACTACTTCTACTACTACTACTAATAATAATAATAAATAAAGAACCTTAATATTTGTTTACAATGGAGACTTGTACACAGATCAAGTTAATATACAGAGCAAGTCAGCAGATGCAGTTAACCGTCACTTCAGTCAAGTAATCAAACATGATACCCTTACTCAGCTTCCAGTCCAGCATGGAGTACACATGGTGCCAATAATTACAGACGTCACTCAAATAGCAAGCGCTGTAAAGCCCTTAATGCCACATCCAGGCCACTTAGGTGTAGATAACAAGAGGACCTCTCCTCTGCTTCCCAAAGAGGAAATAGTATTTAAAGAGAAAAAAGGGTAGTCTAGCACATTCAGGTTTACATAAAACCTTGATGTCACTTCAACCTAGAGCAAACTGTAATGACCAAAATGGTAAAAAGTTAAATTGTTTATTCAAGAGACTCCCAAGTCTGAGCACAGAGTTAGGCTGTCCTGTATCCACGTTAGCCTGTCCCTGCCTTATCCTTGAGGCTGTGATGCCAAACTCTTTGCAGCTGACCCTGTCAAGCTCTAGTAAAGGTAAAACCAGCAGCTTTCAACCCTGGCTTTACAACAATCAATGCAGTCTTTCGCTTTTGCAAAAAGTTTCGCTTTTGTTGTAAAAGTCTCAAATTTTTTTCACTAAACATTTTGGCAGCATATATTAAATTTCTAAAAATGTTTATACACTTTGATCCAGTTCCACATCTGCAACCCTCTTCTTCTGATGAAAATGAGCTAGGCACTATGATGTACTCCTATATTCCCAGCTACTCTGGAAGCTGAAGCGGGAGGATCACTTGATTCCAGTTTCATACCAACCTAGGCAGCACAGCAAGACCCGTATCTCTTATTTAAAAAAAAAAAAAAAAACTTTTGGTGAATTTTTTTATTCTGATAAACTATACAAAATGTAAATTTTAACAGTTTTTATTTATATAATTCCATGGTTTCAAGTATATTAACAGTGTGGTACAGCCATCGTCACTCTCCATTTCCAAAACTTTTTCATCATCTGAAACAGAGGTTCCGTAACCATTAAAAAATGATTAATAGTCTCTATTTTGAAAAATCATTTTATTTTAAAACTATCTTGTAGGTAGTATTGTGGGGGTCAAAAGCAGGGAGAAACACGAAATGAAACATTGAAGGAGAGTAGAAAAATGAAGAATTTAAATGAAGTGAAATGTTATGGGAGAAATTATGTTTATCATTGAAAATACCATGAACACTAGAAAACCACAGCTAGGGTACCCCTGGCCCTGCCTTCCATGTGGGTTGAGACGCAAGGCCCACATGGATGCCCTATGGGGAATGCAGGCTCTCAGAAGCCAGTTGGCTTTCCTAGCTGCCACATATGTGGAGGAGAAAAGACTGCTGAAGCCCAGTCTGCTGGGAGATGCTAAAGTCCGTCCAGAAATGAGGCAGCTTTCATCCCGGCTCTCCTCCGTGATTCATAATGCTGCCTTCCAACCAGCCCCACCCCCAAGGCTCTCTTGTTCATTATTCCCCCATTCCTCTCTGTCTCACTAGAGGTCATTTGAGTAAGCACTTTTTGAGCAGCCCTTGTGTAGCAGGCACTATATGTTGTGCTCAGATACAGAGATATAGACCCCAAAGTCAACTGTGGAAACAAACTTAAGATCCAGAAAAGCTCAATGTGGAGGATCAGCGTGAGGCTGGAGCCTCACATAAGATGGAGGCCATAGTGGATAACTTGCTGGAAAAGAAGGCAGCCGAGCTGCTCCTAAAGAAGAGAGAAAAAAATGACTTGAATGTTAAAGTGTAGGACAGGCACCCCAGGTAGAGGGAGGAGCTACATGCCCCAGAGGAAAAGGCTCCATCAGATGTATATGTATGCTCTTGTTCTCAAAAATAATCCCATCATAACAGGGCATGATGAGACCCTGAGGTTAGAGGGTCACCATGAATTCTGTCTCAAAACAAAACCAAAAAAGTTTCATAACTCAGTCACTATGAGTCTGAGTCTTATTTGATTATATCCACAGAGCCCAGCACAGTGTCTATGACATAGAAAGTTCTCCGTATATGCTTGTTGAGCTGATTCAGTATGGATGATAGTTTCCAATTTATAACCCAGCCCTCAGTAGGCCTCATAATTAGGGCAGTTCAGAAATCCTTAAGTAAGACTCACAATGTGCCAGAGACAGGTACCTTTACATTCCCGACCACCAATACAGCGCCATGTCTACAAAGGCTGCATAGTGAGGCACAGTATTTCCATACTGATTTTGACAGGATGAAAAGCCCCTGCAATTAAGTCCAAAGAATATAGAACAAGAATAATATATTCTTCTTGGAATGTGATTTTTTCAGTAATATAAAAAATAAGTATTTCTGACATTCATAAGCATTTGTAGGTTCTGTGCTCACTTATTACTGTTCTCTATATACAAGGAGTTTGACTTAAAAGAACAGTACCATAGAAGAAATTTTGTCACAGTGTTTTGTACCCATACCACGAGAGTAATGGCAATAACCAGTATCTGTAAAGTACAGTACAGTTTACAGAGTAGTCCTATGTGATTAATCTAATTCTCACCACAGCCTTACAAAGTAAGTAATGGTTAGTTTGATGTTATTAAAAATAGTGGTTGCCGTAGTCATAGTACCAGTATTACCATCATCCCTATTATATAGTTAAGGATACTTAATTATATAAATGATTTGTAAGGAATCTGTAAATTCAAATTCCCGAAGAGAAATATGATTTTAAATTCTGATACTGTGCCCTAATTATATCTGATATTCAGAATAAAAATCTAAAGTGGACATTTCTCAAAAGACAGTATAGAAATGGCCCACAAGTATATGAAGAAAAAAATGCTCAACCTCACTAGTTTGGGAAATGTAAATGAAAACCACAATGAGATGTCACCTCTCTCTAGTTAAAATAGCTCTTTTTTTCCAGCTTTAATTGAGTTTATTGGTACATTTTAGGGATACAGTACAGTTACATTCATTATTGGGATCTTGTACCTCTACATAACAGGTCTTGGTTCTCATTTTTTTCCCCTTGTGAAGCTTTTATTTTTTTAAAAAAGAGCTGAGAATTTAGCTCAGCAGCATCATACTTTCCTTGCAAGTGCGAGGTCCTGAGTTTGATACTGGTACAAAAATAAAAATAAATAAAATAAAATTTTTAAAAAGAAAAGAAAAGGATAGGGCTGGGCATTTAGCTCAGTGGCGCCATGCCTGCCTTGCAAGTTCAAGGTCCTGAGTTCAGTCCCCAGTACCCCCCCCCAAAAAAGGATGACAGATATAAGCAAGGCCATGGAGGTAAACCCTTGCACCCTGTTGGTGGGAATGTTGGCATAGCCATTGTGGAAAACAATATGTTTTTTTGGGGGGGTTGTTTTGTTTTGGTTTGGCTTGGGGTTTTTTTGGTACTGGGGATTGGATTCGGGTCCTTGTGCTTGCGAGGCAGGCATGGGAACTACTGAGCCAAATCCCCAGCCCTATAAAATTGTGTTTTTGTTTTTGTTTTTTGTTTTTTTATGGAAAACAATATGGAGGTTCCTCAGAAATTTTTTTAAATAGAATCATCGTATGATCCAGCAATTCTACTCCTGGGTTTATATCCAAAACAAATGAAGTCAGTATGTTGAAGCAATAACTGCACTCCCATGTTTATTGTAGCACTATTTACAGTAACTAAGAAATGGAAACAATGTAAGTATCAAATAGCCAATGAATGGATAAGAAAATCTGGTATATATACAATGGAATATAGTTCTATTACTAAAAGGAATGAAATTTGTGGGCAACATGGGTGACTTGTAGGACATTATGTTAATTGAAATAAGTCAGACCCAGAAAGAAGTACCATATGATCTCACTCATCTGAGATCTAAAAATGCTGATCTCTAGAAGTTAAGGTGAGAACAGTGGTTATCAGAGACTGGGAGGGTAGGGGTTTGGGTGGGAGAGATTGGTTAGTGGGTACAAAGTTACAACTAGAAAGGAGAATAAGTACTGGCTTTCTGTTGCACTGTAGGATGACTATATTTTGTTTATTGGTTGGTCGGTTGGTTTTGATTCTTTAAGACAAAGTCTTGCTATGTAGTTCAGGCTGGCCTTGAACTTGCAGCAATCCTCCTGCCTCAGCCTCCCAAGTGCTGGGATTTCAGGTGTGCACACCACAGAGGTGTGCGCCTCTGTAGGGTGACTGGTAAACAGCGTGATACTGTATATCTCTAAATAACTAGAAGAGAGGATTTTGAATATTCCCACAAGAGATGATAAATGTTTTGAGGACATAAATATGCTAACTACTGTTGTTTGATCATTGCACAATGTATGCTTGTGACGAATCATATCCTTGTACCCCAGAAATACAGAGTCCACCAAAAAAGTGTATACACAATTCAGGAAAAGAGAAACGTGTATAAATACTTTAGTACTAAATTTACTGAGACTTCATTAGTTTAATACAATCTATCTTTGGCCTCTATAATTACAAGAGGTGCCCAAAGTAGTGGCCATTAGCTTCTAGACATTAGTGTGGTGAACTGCTACTTGGGTGACCTTGGTCATTGAGATTGCTTGACGTGCATTTTTAATTTCTTCTGTGAGGGCCAGCAGTTGTGTTAGTTACTTCGTACTCTTCTCTTGTTGCTGAGACAAAATACCCAACACCCAGAGTTGGAGGGGAAGAGTTTATTTGGTTTACAGTTCTTAGAGGTTTCAATTCATAATCGCTAACTCCAAAGCAGGGTGGATGGCACACAGGCATCACAGAGGAGAAGCAACATGGTGCCCACATAGTAGCAAAGGAACAAGAGGGCCTTCACCACATCTTTCTGCCTCTTTTATCCCATCCAGACTACCAGGGTTAGGGCAGTGCTAAGCCACTCATTCACATGCAATGGTTTAGTAATCACACACCCTTAATCCCAGCATAACACATTCCAGATATAACTACTTCTGACCAAATGAGGCTTTGGGGAGACATCCAGACCTAAACCATAACAGCAGCGTAGTGGGTTTTCTGTGATATGTGACATACTCTGGGGTCCCCCATATGAGGATAACACCATCTGTTGAAAAAACATGTACTATTTTTCTGTTCCTAAAGTGCATATACCTTTTTTTGGTGAACTCTGTACTATGATTATATATGCAAAAAAAATAGAAAATCAAATTAAGCACATTTAAACTCCATTTTCGTCTGTTATTGTTAGGTGAGAGGTAGGCTGCAGTTAAGAAAATATGGTTAATATTTCCAAATAGTACAATGTTTTCCATTCTTCCTGGAATAGTGTCTATCCTTTGAATTCTTTTTTCATTTCCCTATGATCTTTTTTATAGTAATTGATTTTATGACACCTGTAAATTTAGGGCAAAATGCATAAAAGGTGGGAGTTTTTACTCTTAAAGCCAGTTTTTCCCTTTGGGGACTCACTTATTTTTCTAACACAGTTACTGTGTTCCAGAACGTACACTGGTACAAGTGCACAGTCCTTTCCATTCCCATTCTCTTGTTGAGTGATGTTGCTGCTTCATGACTGATGTCTGGCTGTGTCTGTCCTCAGGTGGGGTGACCGCCCTGTGTTGGGACCCAGTCCAGCGAGTGTTGTTCTCAGGCAGTTCTGACCACTCTGTCATCATGTGGGACATCGGTGGGAGGAAAGGAACGGCTATCGAACTCCAAGGACACAAGTAAGGTTGCTGGTGCTTTTAGCAAATCTCTGAAAAAAGAGCTAAAAGGGGAGGCAAAAGAGTGGGTCCAGTCTGTGGCAGGACCTTTGCATGGTGAGGAACACAGCAGGAGCACAGTAACAGCCACCTTGGTTTGTGTCTATAGGAAAATGTGTCTGTATGTTTATGCCCTGTTCTGCTCCACAGAGGACTTGAGATTTCTAACAAAAAATATGAAATAATGGCAGCAAATAAATAAAGGGCAAAATTAGAATCAGGGAGAACATCAGAATAAAAATTTGAGAGAAAAAAGAACTGAAACATGCGTGCCAGAAAGGCCTACAAAATTTCTACAATTGAATGTGGCTTTAAGCTTCCTGGCAGCCCTAGGATGAGGAGAGAGATAATATCCTTGCATGGTACATTTTGTACTTCACTGAGTACTTACTGAGGACTCACTTTGATTCTTAGCAGGCTCTTGTTTTGTAGAGGGTGGACTTGAAAGGGCTGAGAGGAAAGCAGAGAAAGCCTGAGGTTTCCTTGGAGCAGTTCTCAAACTTTGCTTGTGCAAAGAATCAGTGAGGAATTTGTTAAAAAGTAGATTCCAGACTAAGATTCTGGTTGCTGGTCTGGAGCTGTGGGAACCTACGCTGTGACTGCTGACCTTCAGACCACGCTCAGAGTGCCCTCACCATCTGCTGCCACTGTCCCTGGAAGAAAAGCTTGATCTTTTTGCAGAAGAGAATGTTAGATCTGTTTTACAAGTCCAGAGCTAACCTGGGTTGTATTTTACTTGTGAAAGTTCTAAAATGAGACTACAAATGACGCCAGACAGCTATTAATAATTGTCAGTAATATTCCCATCTAGGAAATCATTTTAAGCAGCATTAACTTTCTAGTAGATCTGCCAAAAACCACTAATTTCCACATATTCTCCTAAGTGGTTAAAGATACATTTTTGGCATTATTGGTTAAAAACTAAGTTTAAGAGGGCCCATGCACAAATAATTACTGTAGTGAGCTTACTGTTAGAGAAGTATTTAGCCCTTCTCTCTCTGTCCTCAGAGAACACACGCATTGTCTAGGGTCTGTCTTGGCACCAGGGGCTGCCCAGACTTCATTGGCTAATTAGAGGAATTGTTCCCTCCTGTTTATCTCCATGACAAAGGGACATGCATCGAGGCCATTTAGAAGAAGTGTGTGTCATCAGTGTAGAGGAAAAGAGAAGACAAAACACAGTTCTGTTTAATAGCACTCAGTGATTATCTAATCTGCCAGATAATTCCTGCCAGCTCAGCCTCTCAGAGAAATAAAATGCAGGTTTTGAATGAATACCAGTAATATTTGTTAGCTCCTAACTAGTTTTATTTTTAGTGGTTAATAAAGTCTCTGAGAATTCTTACTAGATTTCATCCACAAGATAAGCTACAGCAGGGTTTAACCTTAGCATTACTTTGTGGGAGACGCCCTTGCCCCACATGTAAGATATGGCTCTAGGCAATACTCTTAAGTGAAGTAAGTAGGACACATGTGTAAATACCAAAGAGTTTCTCTATTGTGAGAAACTGAAAGTGTAAATAAGGACTAAAAGGTATAATAGTTTGAAATAAGAAGAAAAGCTGCAAAGGGGAAGGGAAAATGGGAGGGGTAGGGGAGAAGAAAGATGGGAATGGAATTAACATAGAAAAAGAAAAAATGGAAACAATGTCTTTGTAGATAGAGAGGAGTGGAGGGATTGAAGGGAGGGCAGGGGAATGGGGAAAAACTAAGAACCAAGACAGATTATGTAAAGGTGCAGATTTCCAATGGAATGTCACAACATTGTATACCTTAAATGTACCAATGCAGTTAATTAATTTTAAGAAAAGATGTGGTTCTGGGAAACTTAAACCTACAGTTTATAACAAAAGAAGCAGCTGGGGCTCGGGTATAGCTCAGTAGTAGGATACTTGCCTAGCATACGTGGGGCCCTATATTTGAAACCCAGCACCAAAAAAAAACACACACACACATACACAAAAAAAAAAGAGAGAGAAGTTTCAATGTTTAGATATATTTTCTCAGTCCCAGGAAACTTAAATAGGTCTTCCAGTTTCTAAAAAGTGCAGATTTGACCTTCTAGAAAATGAAATAGCCCCATCAGATCACCCCTTAGGCCCTATGTTGGTCGGTGAGCACACTGGTGGGAACAGGTGCCGCTGGACATCACTGCTCAAACAGGAGTATGGCAGCAGGCTTTTGCTGACATTCACTCACTTCAAGCTTAGTAGTAAATACAGGGACCTCTCTGGGGGCTCCTTGTCAGCAGTTCACAGCCCAAGAGGGGTTGCTCTGGTGTCACAGGTAGGGGAGCAAAGTCTCTCTTATCATTTGGGGTCACTCTTTTAGAGGGAGTCTGACTGCCAAGATGAGGATTGGAGCAATTTGGGCTGCTGAAGAACCAGGATAGGATTCACAGAGAAGGCAGAAGGGGCAGCAAGGAGCTGGCAGGAAAGAAGTCTAGGACCTCTTACACAGCAGCCATTCCTTCACCGTGAAATGGGCCTCTGAGATGATGTTCAGTGCTTTTTGTATTTAAATAGCACCTAATATTGTGTCCAAAAGTAATTTCAAAAACCTACAGACACGTAAGTTTAATCTTACAATCACTCTATTAAAGAGAGGGTTCAGATACCATTTTAGATAAGATTCCAGCTGGTACCATAATGCTCCCCAGTTTGGATAAAGAGTTTCTGTCCCTTCCGCACGACTGGCACTGCATGAGCCTCTGTGGGTGTGAAAGTGAATGTTGACCAACACATGGTCCCTGCTTTGGCCACTAATGTTTTCTGTTTCTTTCTGACTTGAGACCAAATCTGCTGTCCCTTGCTCTCCTACAATTCCTAGTTTTCCTCCCTTCCCCCCAGGGAAGTGTCAGAATTCCCAATCAGGGAATTAACTGCTGAGCTTGGGAACTGAGAGAAGCAGACACGATGGGGTGGGGGTTCCATTGGCATGGAAACATCCAACCATAATGTTGTAGGCCATTTCTTATATTCTGTTTCCAGTTCTGCAGCTTCTTGCTGTCCTTTCGCAGCAGAAAATACATCTTTATGGTTACAATCATGTGCTACATAAAGATGTTTCAACTGGGATAAACTACATGTATGATTGTTGTCTCTTAAGATTATAAAGGAGCTGAAAACTTCTGGTGGCATATTTTTACTGCACCTTTTTTGTGTATAGATGTGATTAAACACTAAATACTTACCTTTGTGTTACAAGTGTCTGCAGTATTCAGTACGATGGACAGACAGGTTTGTAGCCCAGGAGCAGTAGGCTGTAGCCAGATAGTCTAATGTGTAGTAAGCTCCACTGCTCTGGTTGGCAGGAAAACACTTCATGGTGTTCACACAATTACAGAGTTACCTAGCACTCAGTTCTCAGAACATACTCCATTATTAAGCAAGAACTGCAGTTGATGTGATGTATAAAAATTCCATCACAGCAGAGAAAAGTTTAGGACTGAAGAGTGATTGATGACAGTGAAAATTTCCAAGTCCAAGGGAAGAAGAAAGCTAAGTAAGTATATTTTCTGCATTTGAGCCATTTTAGTGTTTTCCTCCCCTGTTGCAAGTGAAATGTGATTGTGTGTCATGATAATTCCATGGGAGGAAAGCAAAGAAAAGGTTTCAGGAGCCAACCATTAGTTGGATTGATATTATAGAAACAAAACCTGGATGTGTGTTGTTCCCTATCCACCTCATCGTATCTAATAATGGCACTTTTTTATTCTTACATATTCTACCATTTTGGATAAGACTTTTAGATAAACTCTTCCATAGAGCTTCTCATTTTATGAGCAACTTAATGAACATAGTGTGCGTGCGTGTGTGTGTGTGTGTGTGTGTGTGTGTGTACTAGGGATTGAACCCAGGGCCCTCACACTAAGCTATATCCACACTGTTATTATTAGTAGTCTTATTTTTAAATTTTTAGGCAGAGTCTCACTAAGTAAGTTATCCAGGCTAAGATCAAACATGGGATCTTCCTGCCTCAGCCTTCCAGAATGTTGAGATTATAGGTATACAACAACACTCCTGGTGCACTAGTAAACTTTGATCCAGCTATACCATCCTTCGTGTATACCCAAGAGGAATTACAGTTACTATAGGAACACCTGCAAAACCATGTTTACTGTGGCAAAATCTATAATAGCCAAGATATAGAACCAGCCTAGTGCCCACAACAAGTAAATAAATTAAGAAAATGTGGTATAGGTATATATATACAGTGGAGTATCATTCAGCCATTAAGAGGAATAAATTTTTGTCATTTGTAGAAAATGGTTGTATCTGGAGATCATCATGTTGAGCAAAATAAGCCAAACTCAGAAATATCACATGTTGTTCTTAATATGTGGAATCTAAAAAAGATGGCAAGAAAGTAGAAGGGAGACTATTATTAGACAAGAGGAAGGGAATAAGGGGGAGGGTAATGGGAGTGGATATGTTCAAATATTATACTCACTAAAATCCAATAGTTTGTAAAATTAATAGGCATTAATGAAAGGAAAAAATCTAAAATAACAAAAGGTTGCCATTAATAGGTTTGCTGCTATTTTTCATGACATTGACCAAACCAATTTATAGTGGTCCTAAATTAACAACTTTTACTTTATAAATAAAACTGTACTCCACTTTTTAAATAAATACATAAAGCCGTGATAAAGATCTTTGTTGTCCCCTGTGATGGGACTCTCCACCAAGACTAGAATCAGCAAGTTGCCTGGGGCTTGGATATGGCCACATCTCTTGGCACTTAGGGTCTGTGTATTTCCTTCCTCTTTCCAAAAGTCTAGCTCTTGGTTTCTCTTTTACTTTTCTTACCATGAGTAAGACTTTTGCTATGAGCATCCTCAAAGCTTTTGGTAAAGAAATGGGCTATTGGTAAATAAGTATGCCCTGGGGAGATTAGTGCTTATGTCCTTGTACCAAGTAAATTGATTTGAAGTAATGAAAGGAGCAAGAATGTTGCATTCCACTTCTGGTTTTGGGACAGGGAGTGACACATTTCTGTCCTTGCAAATCTCTGGGATTTAGAAGTGTTTCCTACTAAAGTGTTGAGGAAATAAAAGTGATGTATTTTATTTCTAACTATTTAGCTAGCAACAATTTAATAATAGATTAAAATATTAGATATTAGAGTTTTCATAGAGGGTAAAATCTTGTGTACTGTACAGTGTAGTGCATTCCCTTAGTGTAATGTGGTGTATTTCCTGTTCAGTGTATTCCCTTCGTGTATGTAATAATTCCCTTAGTGTATGATTGTGTAGAGTATTTCCTTAGTGTACAGCCTTTGAGCCAACACTTCTACTAACAGCCATGTAGCCTGAGGCCCGGCAGTTCATGTTTCTAAGCATCATTTTCCTCATCCCAAAAATAAGGACAATATTGGAAAGGAAGTCCCATACAAGATTATCAGAAAATATCCGTAATGTGAGCCCAGCGTGGTGGCATATGCCTATAATGCCAGCACTGGAGATGAGGCATTGAGGGTCACAAATTTGAGCTTCACCTGAGCAACTTAGTAACACCCTATCTCAAAAAAAAATAAAAAAGTTTGGCGGGGCTGGGGATTTAGCTCAGTGGTTTCGCTGCCTGCCTTGCGAGCACAAGGTCCTGAGTTCGATACCTGGTACCAAAAAAAAATTAATTAAAAAATAAAATAAAAAAGGTCTAAGGATGTAGCTCAGAGCAAAGGACCTTGATCCAATCCCCAGTACCATCACCAAAACAAAAGAGATACATGGTGGTACATCAGTTCATGAACTCATTTCTCTCCACGATTCTGGTCACAAACTGATCTGGACAAGAACCAATTCAAATTTCCCCATAAGGTCAGCATTGGATCTAAAAGCCTAATAGATGGCCATCATTAAAATTATTCTTAATAAAAACTGTAAGTCAAAAGCCATACTTTCAGGTATGATTACTGTTCCTCCCTATAGCATGTCTTAAGGAAATACTGCCATAGAGTATCTAATCTCTCTATTCATAATCCAGTCAACAAACATTTACTTAGCTCCAGCTATGAGCTAGGCTTTGTATTAGGCACCTAGGACACAAAATGATTTATAAAAGTGGGGGGCTCTGTGTTTACAAAGCTTGCTGAAAGTAGAAAAGTAGTAAAGTTGAGACAGTTTGTACATTATACTGGAAAAAGAGGCCTTAGCAAGGGCATGAAGAAAGGCACTCTTGATTTAGATTTCAGGAAATGAAAAGATTTAGAATTAGAAGGTTCTCAGGATTAGAAGGTTTCTGAAAGTAAAATAGCATGAGCTAAAATGCAGCAGGTTCACGAGATAGATGCAAGAGAACAAAGGGGCAATGCCTAATCTGAACTTGGCCCCTGCAGAATGTTGCCGATGCTTAGCAGTTGCCTCTGGGTTCTCATGCAAACTGGCAGCAATCCAATGATCTTTGGGTAGGCTCATCCCATGTGGGGTCCCTTGGGTATGGGATTATCACCTAGGTATTTGGGTGTGTGTGTTGCTCACAAGCCTTCTCTGGTTTTGGAGGTTAGAAGATTTAGGAATATTGGAAAGTGAGATCTCTGGTAGCAAATGCATGACTAATTAGATTTTCCCTAAATTACCTAGACTTCCATCACAGATTGAAAGATGTTGTATGCTGAAATCCCCCAACTCTTGGGGAATGGAAAGGACTTGAAGTGACCTGTGGGCACATGTAAGCCTATGTCTGAGAACTGGATTCCATAAAGAGGATAAAGCCTTTTCTGCATTCTCCTATGAGCATCAGACACAGAATGCCCATGGGTGTGTGGCCTGTGCAGTTATACAAGTCCCCATTCTTAGAAGGATCCCACATTAGATTTAATGTTCTGCCATTACCAGCTTCTAATGCATAATAAATTTTTAACAGAGGGTCCTGTCTTCCTCAAATTATACAGCTAGGTCCAATCAGACATATGTTGCTCTAGGACTGGTAAGAAAGGAAATGAGGCCATTCCACTAAGTATAATATTTATAGATGGCAGATCCTGGTTGTTTGAAGAGTGGAATTTTTGTGCACTCTTCAGAGCATTTGCCGTGCAGTGTGAAGTACGTGGAGCACACTAATCCATGAAATAATAACCAGTTATGAAATGTTGTCTAGTATAAATGCTACAGTGATGTCAGATGAGACATAAATGCTAGAAGTTTCTTTTCATTCTGTGAACCCAGGGACATTCCTTTAGCTAGTTTTTAACTGGCAGGTGGCTACATTTTTAATCCTTTCATCAAGAAGTCCCTGTCCAGCTTTATTATAAAGCTCAGAATCCAGCATGCATCCCTGTGTTAGAATATTAACATTCCTGTAGTCCCATAAATTATGTATTTGTTGCTGAATGTTGCTATCAGCTACAAAGCATTTCCTTCTGTAGCTTATTTTGGTTTGACAAGATCATTGATGTGTATCAGAATGCCTTAACAAATGAAATGTAGTTCAAATCTGAAAGATACGATCCTGTTCAACAAGGTAGACTTTCCTTCTAATTCTTGAATGTCAGAATGGTGGTACTCCATACTTTAAAAAGTATAAAATAACAACCAGGAGAGATAGTGAGAAAATAACTGACTTTTTAAAAATGTGAATACCTGTCAAAGGTTTTATATTAGTCATGAATTAATAAGCCAACCAGTAAGACTGTGCATCCAGTCCAAAGGTAAATGCAAAGAGAAGACACATGCACAGGCAGTGGACAGTGCTCAGGTGAATTAGTGAGAAGATATACAGCTCGCTTCTTTGGCTGAGGTGGAGCCTGGGGAGAGCTATGTTTTTACTGCGTAAGATTTACTTGTAGTAATGTCAGTCTTCCATAACAGTTACAAAATAGCACAGTTAAAGGTACTGAATGGTCCAGACCTCTGTAGAATCAGATAACCTGCAAAGGTGTGCTAGACAACACCTAATATTTCATTGAAAAGATAGCGAGTTACCCAGTAATACCTTTTTACCTATTTCAAGTCTTTCACGGTCTACCTGGCAGTTCTTCTCCCTTTGATCATGATAACCACAAAGTCTTGAACACAAAAAGAGGCTGGTCTCAGTAAGGTTTGGCCTAACTGTATTGATGCAGTAGGAGTATTTATCAACCCTTTAAAGCCTTCTTGGATTTGCTTTATATAGTTAGAACCACACAGTATTCAATAACCATTAACACCCACAAAATTTAACTTCTTCCTGGGAGTTGTTGTGATGAATCTTGGATTGAACTTTTCAGAACCTCTGTTAGTAGCTTTTCCAAGGCTAAAAGACCAAACCTGAGAAATTCTTTACCATTCTTTACCTAGAGTACTTAAAACCTTAGATAAATTCCTGGGAGTTTCCAGCATTACCAGGCTCTTGGCAAGGTGCGTTCCTTAAGGCTAGGACCGTGAAAACCGTATACTGAGATGGTTTGGGGGAAAGGCTTCCTAGGCCTTGGCTCAGTGAGTTTTTAACACAGGGAGTCATTTCTAATTCAGTTCTCAAATATGACACTCCAGTTGTACATTTGGTTTTCCCAGCTCTGTCTTGTGCATACATTCTCAGCCTGTGCAGGTAATTCTATTGCTGTGACAATTAAAGGAATATTCAGTCACTTTTAAATGCTGGACAGTCAGTGAGACTTCAGTATCATTTTCAAACATTTTGACTTAGATTATAAAAGCAGAACTTACTAAATTGTGGGCTAAAGATAGCTTAAAAAGTAAGGAAAGAGCCATCCTCATATATCCAGCAAATAGAACATTGAAACAATATCAACAGTATTCTAGGCAAATATCCACGATAAAATTTCCCTCCTCCATCCACTCAGTCATACGAATGAACTGTAATTCATTCTTATTCTATGGTTCTTGGTTTAGCAGTCCATGTTCATAAAGCCATCTGCATCCAAACTGAAAAGAAACCAGAAATCCTGGCTCCAACCCAACGGCACAGCAATGTCTGCTTAATGGACCGATCCCTACTTTTTGAAGTATCAGTATTTTTAAATACCTGGTACATGCAGGCCTTTCCACAAAACTCGGAGACTCTTATTTATTGAAGTCATAGACCCTGGCCTATGCTTACAACAGAGCCTTCAGGCAAGTATCAGAATAATACAAAAGTTACCTGTAGATTATAGAAACTTAGGGGCTTAATGGTTAATATGTTACTCTAAACAATATCAGAATGAGGGAGAGTACAGTTGTCTATTGGGATATCTTCCGTAGCTATTTCCTAAGAGTTTAGAGGACTATGATCCCTATAGCTAAAAATATATCATAGATAATGAGGCATTTGGGGAAGCAAGCCATCAAGACTGAGGGAACTTTGCCAAAATTGTAATGCTTTTTATAGCCTTTTTTAGTCTCAGATACTATAAACCGAAGCAAATAAAATTCATTTTCTAAGTGGTGTCCTTCATTTTTCCCTTTCATATTCTGCAACAAATTGACACTTTAGGATTGCCTTTAGTTTAGATGCAGATGGCTTTATGAACGCGGAATCCTAAACCAAGAACCAACAGAATAAGAATGATTTACAGTTCATTGGTATGACTGAGTGAATGGAAGAGGGAAGTTTTATCATGGATATTTGCCTGGAATATTGTCTTGTTTTGTTGCTTTTGCGGAACTGGGGATCGAACTCATGACATTGTGCTTGCCAGGCAGGTGCTGGCGCCACTGAGCTAAACTTCTGTCTCTGCCTGGAATATTGTTGATGTTTCAGTGTTCTATTTGCTGAATATATGAGAATGGCCTTTTCCTTATTTTTTAGCATCTGTATTATCTCAAAAGTATACAATAGACTTTTCCATAGGCTACTTGACGAGTGATGCCACAATAAATGCAGAAAGACATGAGTATCTGTCTCCTGTTAAACCACACAGTAAAAAGATTTCATTAAACAATTACTTTTTTCTTAACAAAAGTTTTTCTTTTGGAAAATATATTTTTCACAAAACACATATATTAAAATGGGATTAATTAATATTTTCATTTGAATCGATATGTTTAAAATTTGTTTAATTTAAAATACAGTAAATGTTGGTAGTTGTCATTCATTTAAACCAAAGCTCTTTGGTGTCCTCAAATAAGTTTTAAGAGTATAAAGGGATCCTGAAATCAAAAAATTTGAGAAGCAGCAAGTTAAGATCAAATTACCCTCAAACTTACTTTTTCTTTCGGAAACAAAAGTACATGCACACTTGTATTTCTTTTTTATTATTGCACCTGGCATAGTCTTGACTCCTCATTTTAATTGTAATAATTACCACAGTAACTTATTTCAGAGAAATTGGGAGGAGGGAAGATACAGACAGTTCAGCACTGTCTTGTCATGTGCAGGCAATTTAGCAGGCCAGCAAAGTTCATGCATGTGCAACCAGTATTTCCACTGTGATATGCATTATTTTTACATCAGCAGTCTAGATATCAAAGAACTTTTCTCCTTCCCAGCAGTCACAAAATTCTTCATCTATTTGGACTTAAACCAATATACAAACAAAAATGACGAAGAAGCCAGATACCCTGCTTTCTACAGATCTCTATAATCTATTGCTAGTGAGCACCAAACTGTTAGCCATAAAACTGAATTCTCCACCATTCTGACCAGTGGGAGAAGAGGAAATAACTTGTCAGCCATGCACAAACTAGAAAGAAAAATAAAGCACTAGAAGAGAGGAAATAAAAACTAGACAAATCAAGAGTCAGTGAAGTTCCAGTCCATCACTGCTTTGGATTCATTTTGGGAGCCAAGGAAAGGCTTCCCCAGGCTTCAGCACCCATGAGTCTCACACCTCGGGAGCACAGCCACCTTCTCTATCACCTGAACCCAGTGGACATAGATCTCTTAGATGATAATGCTTTCAAATGTAAAATTATGACTTGAAAAAATATACAATGAATGCATACCATGGATTTCAATTAATTAAAAAGAGGGATAACCAGTAAGATATAATAACCAATTTAGCAGTCAGCTTTTTTCTTTCTGTGTTGGTTATTGACAAAGATTGCCTCTTTCGAGGGCTGCACTTAAACTAATCTGACCATTAGTATGTTGGAGATCCTTTTGGGTTTCTGAGGTCTACCCTTGGTGCCCAGAGTGAATGTGCTCATTTTGGTCACCTTTACTGGGATTTCAACCATTAGGCCTATTATTTACTTTCCTGAACCCTTGTTTCCTTTCACAGTGATAAAGTCCAGGCCCTCTCCTATGCACAGCATACGCGGCAGCTCATCTCCTGCGGTGGTGATGGTGGCATTGTTGTCTGGAACATGGATGTACAGAGGCAGGAGGTAAGTGTCCCTAGGCTGGGCTGAGCCCTGCAGTTCTGGCTTCATCTTCCCTCTTGCTTATCTCTTATTTCTTTGATAATCAAACCATGAAATAAGACACATTATTTTAGAATATCAAAACTTACAATATGAAGTGAGTTCCCTTTTTCCCCCTTTAAGACATTGGCATCTAACATTAATGTAATTTCATGAGAATTTTGACTGAGGCTGAGCTGTTTGCACTTTGAGTCTGTTAAACCATTCGAAGCAAAACTACAGTTGAGAAAAAGGAACCATCTATTTTCCAGTGATAGTCCTTTATTATAAAATGCCCCATGAAAACAAGAAACTCAAGCTTTATGCTATAGAGGGTAAGAGTGGCTACAAAGTAAGAAACTTTAATTTGGTATTAATAAGAATAGTAAGTATTAATAGAACTACTAGAAATAATTTTTGCACTATTTAATGACTCATGTTCTAAGTACCCATCTTTTTTCAGCACAACTAAAATTTTATCACAACGCTCTCTTTTAGTGAACTTTACTTTTAATCCTTGAGCATCTGAATAACTACTATGTTTACTAAAAAGCCCCTTTGGCAAGTACTTTAAAGTTAACCATTTTCTCATTACCCTAGAACTATTCTGGGTAGACTTTTCCTTTAACAGTCTACATTCTTTCAGTTTATTTCTTGCAAGATGTAAGAATTAGATATAAAAAAGAACATTTTTACCAGACAAAAGCTATTTCCCAAATTATTTCCATGCCCTTACCCCAGTCAAAACAATATTTGCTATTACCCACCATGTAATGCCTTTCAAATTCCAGTAATTAAATGCTTAAGAAGATTAAAGCTTTATTTGTTCAAACCATAAATCCACAGGAGCTCTATTAGTAACTAATTAAAATGATCATTACTGTGAGGAAGTGGGGACTTGTAGAATATTGCTTTTCAAAGGTACAGTTGGCACCATCTATACAAAGCCAAGGGATGTTACAATGAGTGCTGGTCACACTAGCCATGCTCCCCTGGGACCACAGATTGTATCCCAATTTGGGCTCAGCCTGGTAGCCTGCTTTAAGTTAAGGACAGTCATACCTTTTCTGACTTGGCTTCTTTCCAGGCCAAGCTGAGGGAGAGAACAGCCAGGATCTTTTCCCTCCAAACAAGTATCCTCTCCCCTTTATGCACAGAGGATGACAGCATGATCTCTAGAGTTGAAAGCAGGTGGTGATGGGTGATCCTTTGAATCCTCTTGCTTAAATTATGCTCCCTGACATGAAGATATAGGGGCACTTAGTATGTGGTGATTTTCAAGTCTTGGTGAGTAAGTCAGTGTTCTGAATAAGCAGTGGAAATGCATCCACATGTCTTTTGCAAGTATCATGTTTTATAAAGCTAAATCTCCTGTGATGGTTTCTGTGCCTCACTGACTGGAAATCTTCCTGGTTATGGCAGGCCTGTGCAGTGCTCTTCTGGAAGGCCTGAGATAAAGCACTGTCCAGCCTGATGCACAGAGACTTTCAGAAAACATGGGAGTGCTATTTAGTGCTATAAATGAGGAATCATGTTAGATATAAGATGGAACATGCATGCTGGGTATTAGTGGGAGAATTATTGTTTGGCTAAGGTTCTCGAGGAAGGGTTTGTGGAAGGTCCAGTGGGGCCTGGATGTGCTCTGAGCAAGAGCTTCATGGGCTTTGGAGGCCAGGAAGGATTAAGAGTGAGGACAAGATCCACATGGTACATTAGTGCTCCTGAGCAGTTTAGCGGTACTCAGGGATGAGAGGATGGTAGACAAGACAGTTGGAGACAGATGACAGGAGACCTTGAGAGTGGCTAGATGCAGATGGGGTTGACATCCCATACAGTAGAGGTCCCCAGCCCCTGGGCCATGGATCAGCACTGCTCTGAGGCCCATTAGGAGTCAAGCCCCACAGCAGGAGGTGAGTGGCAGGCAAGCCAGCAAAGCTTGATCTAGATATCAGCAGCTCCCTGTTTTCATTACCATATGAGCTCTTCCTCCAGTCAAATCAGCAGTTCCCACAGGAGCACAAACCCTACTGTGAACTGCATGCACATGGGGCTCTAAGTTGCTTGCTCCTTTAAAGCATCCGGAAACCATCCCCTTACCCTCACCCATACCACCCCCACCCCATGGAGAAATTGTCTTCCACAAAGCTGGTCCCTGGTAGAAACTGGGGACTGCTGCTGTACAGCCTGTGTTTGTCTATGCCATTAATAAAATCCATTTATTCAAACATCACTTTTATTTTATTATTTTTATGTTTGGGATTTTTTTTTTTTTTTTGAGACAGGGTCTCATTATGGAATTCAAGCTGGCTTTGAACTTACTGTGTAGTTCAGGTTGGCCTCAAACTTGTGGCAGTCCTCCTGCCTCACCCTCTCAAGTGTTGGGTATATAGGTGTGCACCACCACACCTGGCTTTCAAATATCATTTTTTTCTCCTTTCCTGGTCCTTCTTCCCAAATCCCTTGTCACAGATGCCAATGTACCCACTGATGTATTTGATATGTGTGTAAACAAAGGTGTGTGGTGTGTATGTGTATGTGTGTGTCAATGTTTACATAAATGATACTGTACTACTACAAGCCTGTTTTCTTTCCAGCTTTTCCCCTGGGTCCCTTTTTGAGCTCTTACCATCCTGCTGCGTGTATCTTGGGGTACTTCTGCATAAGATCCCATAATATATAGCAGTGCCATTTCACCTCTGTTCCCCAAGCAAAAGGCACATAGATCACCAGAAACTCTTTGGTGCCACACAAACACAGCTTGTGCCCTCATAGACCTGTCATGAGATCAGTACAGGTATATTCTTGATTCTTCTAAGTAACCAAATGGCTGTGCTCATTTATACTTCTAGTGGTAGACATGGAGTTTCCTGTCCTGACACCCACATTCTCCCCAAGTTATTATTACTCCATTTCTGGTTTTGACCTTCTGGAGACAGGGGTAAAATAGCATCTTGTTTTACTTGCATTCTCTGCTCAATGGTAAATTTGAGCTTTTATATATCTTGAGCTTTTTTGCCTTCCCTATCTATGAATTACATGTTCATATCTCTTGTATCTTCTTGTCAATTTTTCAGATGTTTCTTGTCATTTTCTTATTGTTTTTCAGGGGTTCTTTTTTAATTATATAGACTTGGTAAAGATCTTCTAACCTGTTCATCTTGTGCCTTATGTACTACTTCCTAACTGGGAGTTTTCTCATTCATTGTATATTGAACATTTTCCATGCCTTTAAATATTTGCCCTTGCTACATGATTTGAATGCTAATAAGGTTATATTGGGGAAATTGTTTCTTTTTGTGTGTGTGAGAGACAGGGTCTCACTATGTAATTTAGGCTGGCCTCAAACTCATTATGTAGGCCCAGGATGGCCTCGAACTCATGGCAGTACTCCTGTCTCAGTCTCTCAAGTGCTGGGAATGCTGGGATTACAGGCATGTACCACCATCCTGGTGGGGAAATTTTTTCTTAAATAAACATTATACCCCCTCAGTTTTCCAAGGAGCATAATAATATGTTTTTTATTATGTAAAGTAAGTTGCTAATTATTTTTTCACTAGAAGTTCTTAATTAGCCCAAATTTGATTACAAACTAATTGTACAGTCAAACATGGAACTCTGGAAGTAAATGCAGTCACCATATGCATAATCAGTATAGGTTTACTAAACAATAACTTTTCACAGAACCCTACATCTGACATAGCTTAGGTTACTCGTGACAGGACTGGGAAATAGTGAACAAAACCAAAATATTATGTGAACCATGAACCATGAAGCAGAGCCGCAAACCCTGTGGGGCCCTGCCATGAGTGAATTGTGGCCTGCTAGCTTCCTCAAGTAGTATGGTCAGCTTATACCACTCTGAATACAGCAGCTTCATGTGTGATGTGCACCTAGATATCACTGTATAGTCAGAGCAAATGGAATTACATCCAGTCTGGGAATATGAGATCCAGTCCTAAACCTTCCCCATGGTTGCCAAGGGTGCAGTATAGGCCCAGCCAAAACCTCTAGCCTCACCCCTCATTCCCCACATGCCCTCCACCCAGCCTAAGCTGCTTTCATCACCCTTTCCTTTGCCTCTTCCTGTCTGTCTTGGGTCTCAGCTGACTTACCTTTTCCCAGAGAATGCCAATGTCGGTCAGATCCCCCTCTCTACCTTTGCTGTAGCACTCTGTGCCTCTCCTTAGGCTTTTGCATGCTGAGACCTACTGAATAATTATTCATCTTTTCATGACCAGTCTTCACTGATAAATTGTAAGCTCTATAACATATTTACCACCACATCCCATCGGTAGGGCCTGACTCACAAACTTTGAGTTTGAGTAAATATTTTTTGAATGATTGACTAAGAAACTACCCCTCTGTTATGGATAAATTCATCCTAATTCCAGAAGTTTCATCATTGTCAGGTGTTCCTTTGTCCACAGTGTTTCTCACTGTTATGTGCTTTATTTGATAAGACCCCTGAATGGTTGGACAGTGACTCCTGCCAAAAGTGTGATCAGCCTTTCTTCTGGAACTTCAAGCAAATGTGGGACAGTAAGAAAATTGGCCTAAGACAGGTGGGTGATTTGGATATTTCATCAAATGTAATTGTGTGGAAATGACTTTACTTGGTAATCTCTGAAAAAATAGCACACCTGCATGGGAGTTGTGGAGGGGTTATTATCCTGGAGTCATCCTGTGACTGTACATTAATACCCCCTTTTTCCATTGTAGCTCATTCCTATTAGATTCAATTTCTGTAGTAGTTTGTTCCCGGTAAATAATTGAGGGATACAATTTTAGAATTCTAATGACATCTATTGAAATGTGCCTTAAAATTAAGAGGCATCATGCTTAGCTCACACTGGTTCCAAACCATGAAATCATATAAGTGGTATTTATTTCTCCTTAATAATTTTATTTTCCTTTCTTCTGATTTGATTTTAGTTATCTACATCTGCTTATAGTATATCACTTCCAGTCTGATCCCATGGTTTAGCTTGGTCTTTTCCAAGGAAATCAAAAGGTCACCTAGGTTGAACATAGCTGAAGTTATAGGCAATGGGTTGAACCAGGTTTCTTCCACGATCTCTTAATCCAGCAGAATAATCTCTGGAGATGGCACTTCCTCAGTACACCTAGCTTTAAGACCACCTGGCCACTGGGTTCTCTGTAGTCACAGTGATGGTCATGGGAAAGAATGGAGGGTAGGGTAGGCTGGAAATGTGGAATGCACCATCATTATGGACACACAAGACCCAAAAAGAGAAGGCACCTGGTGTGCTCCTGTGCAGTTTCAGGGGCAGTTTTGCCTTGCAGCCTCACCTTGAGTGATCACAGTTGAGTGCGCCAGGAGGTCATGCACAGCCATGGCAGCCTCTGTTTTCTCTCCCTGCTCCAGCACCATTGCCGCAAGTGTGGGAAGGCCGTCTGCGGCAAGTGCAGCTCCAAGCGTTCTTCCATCCCCTTGATGGGCTTCGAATTTGAAGTGAGGGTCTGTGACAGCTGTCATGAGGCCATCACAGATGAAGAGTAAGTTCCTGCTGCCTGCAGGACTCTTCCTGGTTACAGAGGGAGCGTGTGTGTGGGTGTGTGTGTATGTGTGTGTGTGTTTGGTGTTGGGTATTGCATGTAGGGCCTTCGCACTGAGATTCATCCCCAGTCCTTTTTCATTTTTGCTTTTGAGACAGTCTTGCTAAGGCACTAAAATGTGCAAGTGGTGCTCAAACTTTGCATCTTCCTGCCTCATCTTCCCAAAGTGATGGGATCCACCACCATGCCCATCTCATTTCTATGTTGTTTTTAATTCCTGAGGTATATTCATTTAAAGTACAGTGATACCTCAGTTCGTGATCTTAATTCTTTCTATCATTCTGATCACAAACCAAACTGGATGAGAACTGAATCAAATTTTCCCATAAGGTCAGTGTTGAACACTGAACCATTGAATTTGATTTGGTTCTTATCAGACTGAATTTAGGACCAGAATCATGGAAAGAATCAAGTTCATGAGCAAAGGTACCACTGTAGATGCTTTCTGAGCAAACCCTTCTGTTGCTCATTTACTGAGAATTGCCCAGGAGTGTGGCGGCCTAGGACTCAGTTTGTAGCCCAGACTGGTGTCTTTACAGGATTTGAATCAGACCCCAGCCAGCCTCCAAAAGGTTTCGGTTTTCAGGAGGAGCTAAACTGCATTACCTAAGAGGCAGATATTCTCAGTTGCCCACTACTCCACTGGTTTCTTATCAGTCCTTCTAGGACCTTAGATGTGCTATGAAAGGAGGTGAGAATCTACATTTTCTCTTTAAACTTGGCTAACTAAAAACTGTCCCACGATGCAAACAGAATGCTCTGAACAAGTTTCCGTTTATTGAGGTACAGGAGGATCAGTCTCGTAGGTAACTTGTCTCCCAGTCCTCCTGGTATAGTCAAATCATTTTAAATATTCTTGTTTACCCCTATCAAATATAAATTGATACCTTATATAAGTAGGCATTTATCTTCATTAAATATTTTCCACTGATTATACATGATGAAATTAGTAAGAATTTTTATTGAATAGACAGCTGCAAGAGACCTTAGGGATAGTCTAGTTTAGTTCTTTAATATATAAAAAGACAGACCATGAACTTGTAGTTTAAGCCTAAACCTTTAATTGTGAATGTGATCATTTTTAGCATACTGAAGATCTATCCTGCAGATTTAGCTATAGAAAAAGGGAAGAAAAAAAATCCCATCTTCTGACATTATTGCAGCAATGAGACCTTGGAACACGATAGGGAATGGCCATCTGCTTTGTGGCCTCCCTGGCCCTTCACTTCTCACGGTGTCTCCCACCTCTGCTTCATAAAGCACTGCTGCTTCTTCTAGAGCACCTAGGCAGTCAGCTGGCCCTCTTACTTTAAAAAAAGAAAAAAGGCATGGGTTAAAAAATACAAAGCGTGATGGGCATATGGGTGCACACTTATAATCCCAGCACTCAGGAAGCTCAGGTAGGATGATTACCACAGGTTCAAGGCCAGCCTAAACTATATAGTGAAACCTTGGCTCAAAAAAAAATTTTTTTTTTTTT